AAGACTGAGAAAAACTGGATAAACTGTGTATACTGCACTGAAACAGATGAGGGACTGAATAATTTCAAAGCGATGTATGATAGGGTATTATGGTTATCACAAGAGTCCACAATTAAGGTTGCATAGTAGAATGTACTTGGGGTGGTAGGAGGGGTGCGGGGGGATTGTGTACCAGGGAGGGAGTCTTTCTTTTACTTTTGAAAGAGAGGAGCAAACTGGGGGGCAGGGTGAGAGGGCTGGGTGGGTAGAGAAGTACAGCAATGAATGAATGGAAATCCAAATTATCTGTAAATGTTCATTAAAATTATTTTAAAAAAATAAAAATTCAGTGATGTGTTAAATAAATTATATTATGACCACATTACAGAATACTATATAGTTATTAAATATCCTGGTATTAAAAATTATTTCCCAGAATAAGGCAAAATTGTACTCATTTTGTATAACATTTAAAGAAAGAACAATAAACAATTCAGTCTAGAAAATAGATTGGCTAAAGACTAAAACCAGAAATGCTGGGTAGAAAAAATATTATTTAATTGCTACTGTGCTGCAAATGGGGGAGATCTAGTGTCCCAATGAGTAAGAAGCTGTGATGTCAATCCCAAGACAAGCAGTTCAAATCCACCAGCTGCTCCCCGAGAAAAAAAGCACATTTTCCTCCCCTGTGATTTATAGCCTCTGATAACACACCAGAGGGTCAGCTATGAATCACTTGTTACTTGATGGCACATAACAGCAAAAGCTAAAAATGACAAACTGTAGAGTAATGGTATCAAACTCATTTTCAAATATAAAGTTTCAATCTCTATACTGAAACATAACATTAAGTAATATCCATGCACATACAAGGAAGATCCATTTGGAGGAACATTCTTCTCAGTGGTACAACACTCTTCTGTCAATTTGCTATACTGAGATAACCTGGAGTTGCTGTGATGCTGAACCTTGTACCACTGGGATGTCAAACGTCATAATGGCTGCCCATAGTGGACAGTGTTTGCTGGAGCTCCCAGTTTAAGAAAGGTTTGGAAGCAGGAGTAGCATCCACTTCCTAAATAACATGTCTCTGAGAAACGATGAGAGTTATAGAAAGCCTTCAAGTCTTTTATTCATAGGGTCCCTATGAGTTATGCTCAACTCGAGGGAAATCAACAACAACAATACAACTATTCAATTTATGCACCAAACCAAATATCAAGAAACTGAGGACTACTACCAATTTATGTGATCTGAAATTGATTTAACATGCAATCAATATGCATTAATAATAAATGGTGACTGGAAGGTAAAAGAAGTTTGGAGATTAGAAAATATGGCATTGGTGACAGAAAGAAGTAGAATTACAGAATGTGTATTAAAAATTACCTATTCATTGAAATATTTTTTTAAAAACTCAAAAAGGAAACTGTTCACATAGATCTCACCAGATGCATATGAAGAATAAAATTGACCCCATAAGTACAAAAGAGATGATGAGGAAAGTCAATATGACCAGTTAGAATAAGGCCATGGGCTGACAGTGGAACAAACTATCAATTATTCATTTGTAAATTCATATTTAAGCTGAAGAAAACAGTAAGAATTTCATGAGCACCAAAATATGACCAAGAGTAAGTCCCAATTCAATCTGAAAAGCAATTCAAGAATCAATTTGATGCACAAAACAAAATGGTTTCCAAAACATTGACCACATGTTAGCTAGCTGTCTCTGTCTCTCTCTCTCCCTCCCTCCCTCCCTGAATTTGTGTTGGCAGTGCAACTCCTCAACTCCTTCCTCATTAGGCTACCAGCACTCCCTACATGGCTAGGTAGAATTACGTAAATAACGTGAATGAGGTAAATACCACCTTTGGGTGGAAACATGCAAATAAGGTGTGTGGACTACTTACAAGAGGATGTATCAGTTCTGCCTTCTCACCAAACTTAAATTGAGCAGGTTCAGAGGCAGAAAATGGGAATCTCACAAGCATTCTGAAAGCTGGTAGTTCAAATCCACCAGCTGCTCCATAGGAGAAAGTTGGGTACTCTCCTCCAGTGCAGTTAATTGCCTCTAAAAACCTGCTGGAATATCAGCTATGGGTCAGCTCCAGCTCAATGGTACACAACGACAAAACAACCATCAAGAAAGAAGCATCAGAGTCCAAAACATCCATTTGGGCTAAATACTCCTATGCAAAACAGACTAAGACCAGCAGCAAGCAGCAGCAGGGATGGGAGAGACCCATGATGAGAAAGAGCTGAACTGGAGTAGCCACTCTACATCGTCAGCCACAAGCCTTTGCTAGGTTTTCCGAAGGGCTGGGAGTAAACACCATATGTGGCAGGACTGAAAGAGCTATATGGCTTAGAGGTAAGGAGTTGTGCTGCCAGTCCAAAGACATGAGGTTCAAATTTATCAGCTGTTCTGTGGAAGAAAAATGGGCAATCTCCTCCTGTGTGACTTAAGCCTCTGAAAGCCAAATGGAGGGTCATCTGGGAGTCAGTTCTGACTTTACAGTACACAGTAACAATAAAGAAGTCATTAGTTTGAACTTGAACTCAAATCCATTACCATCGAGTCAGAGCAGACAATCTCACACATTCCTGAAGCTGGTCTCCTACAGGGGAGCCTGTCTGTCTCTCTCCTGTAAGTTTCTAGTTATTAGATAGAAATCAGTAAAAGACTATTTTCTTATCATATTTATCATAATCAGACTATATCTAATTGAAAAGTAGAGGAAGCTTATAATGAAAGACAAGCATGGCTAAAAAAAACCACATACAGAAAGGGAAAAATTTTTTAGAAGATTATAGATCCTGGTTTCCTGGAAACACTTTCAGTTTATATCTGCTGTCTTGACAAAACATTAATATTGCTCTCTTCTACATTCTGGTCATCATCAATCTAATTATATCAAACATTGGAATAATGTAACTAAATTGAAAAGTTTGGTTTTTTTTTCCGTGTCAGATGGGTACTGTGCCTCCGTCGTAACAAGGTTAGAAGGTGGCACATGTCATACAGACGTATGAACTCCCGATCATCATGCGTATGAACTGGAAAAGGATCTGAAAAGTATTTTTGAGAAAGGACAAATTTATGAAACATTAAAAGGCCCTGTAAGACAGATGCAACTCAAGGACTGCATGTAATTAAATTCTATCAAGGGAATATGATAAAGCAAATATAATAAAGAGTTACTGGAAAAGTCAAGATGAAAGTGTATAACAATGTTCACAGTCAAACTGTCAATTCTGCTGTATGTCTGAAAATCTTCCTAATAAAATGTTGAGGGGGCGAATGCTGCACAAGTTTGATCGAGGGAAAAACAGCTGTCAATTTAGAGGTGACCACTCAGTGGATAAAATCTGAATCGCAGGGGAGAGGACTCTTCATTCTTCCACAGAGTCACTGCTGGATTCGAACTGGCAGGGAAGTGTGGCCTTTGGGTTCCCAGTATGCCTCGTGCACTGCAGCCCGAGAGCTCCCTGACCTAGGGAAGAGCTAGAAAAACAAGAAAATGAATGCTTCTCTTTCTTAAGATTCCATTCTTAACTATTGCTCATGGAGCTGTTTGACAGCAGGTGCCTGGGCTGGGAATGTAAATGTTCAGTGTGGCTGATTAAAGTTTCTTACGGTATCCATGGATTCCATTATGTAAGTAGTAAAACTTGTATTGTCCTATAAATGTGAGAAACCTGGCCAGTGTTCTGCACCAAGAGGAAGGCAGCAGGCTCTTGATGATAAGGGTAGGGTTTCAGTATAGCTGTAAAGAAAAATATTGGGATAAGAGAAATGGAGGTTATATGCAGGAGACTCCACCTCATGATACTTGGTTGTGCAAAAAGAAAACTAGTCACTAAAAACATTAATCTCAAATGTCAAGATATTTCAACACATTTACCAAATGTGTCTCAATTTCATTTTTTTATGTGTCTCAATTTTAATGCTCCTGCAGCCTTCTATATGGATTGAAACTCATCATGAAGAAAACAAAGGTCCTCACCACTGGGCCATCTGGTAGCATCATGATAGATGGTAAAGAGGTTGAGGTTGTTAACAGCTTTAGTTTGCTTGGCTCTACAAGCAACACTCTTCGTACCAGCAGCCAGGAAATCAAGAGATGAATTGCATTGGGAAAGTCTGCTGCCAGGGACTTCTCCAAAGTACTGAAGAGTAGCGATGCCAGTCTGGAGACTAAGATGCGCCTGATCCAGGCCTTAATCTTTGCAATTACTTGCTATGCATCAGAAAACTGTACAATGACTAGATAGAATGATAAAAAAAAAAAAGGCCAGAGATGATAGAAGGAGAATTGATGCCTTTGAGTTGTGGTGCTAGAGAAGAGTATTGACTACATCATGGCCAGCTAGGAAAACAAACAGGTTTGACCTAGAGAGGGTGAGACCAGGCTGCTCCTTGGCAACAAGGACTCTGAAGCTTTATATGACATACTTTGGATATATTGCAAGGCGAGATCAGTCCTGGGAGAGGGACATTATGTTTGGGAGGGAGGAGAGACAGCACAAGAGAGGAAGACCCTCCATGAGATGGATTGATTCAATGACTGGGGTAATGGGGATAGGTGTGTCAGAGACAATAAGATTGGCACAGGATAGAACAGGATTTAAGGGTGTTGTACATAGGGCAGCTATGAGTCATAGGCGACTCAATGGCACATAACAACAACTTTTAATTAATTAATTTTTAGATGCTAAAATAAATGAAGCCTATGCAAATATGAAAGAATTGTGCTATTTCATCTTATATAAGGCAGGCATGTTGTTAGAAGGGCTAGTCCTTGGAAAAAGACATCAGGCTGGGCAAAGAGGAGGATGAGAGAAAGATCAGACAGACTGACACAGTGACTATAACAAATGGCTCCAGCATATCAGAGATAAGGAGGATGGTACAGGAAAGAGCAAGATTCAGATTTGTTGTTTACAGGGTCATTGTGAGTCGTAGATTGCACCTAACAACAACAAACTTTAGTAGACAGAGGACCAAAAAATCATAACTCACAGCCTTTAGCTGAGACTTCCCCACAGTGTTTGCTTCTCCCAGGACTCCCACCCCACCTAAAACCGGAAAGATTTGTGTCCAACTGAAAGGAAGTACTACCAAGAAATACAACACTAAAATAGCATTTGCTTCAGGTTCTGTAAAAGCAGAGCAGCAAAACATAGATCTATTGGAACAGAAGCTATTAAAATTAGTTTGATATATTTAGTACAGGGCCAGGCAGTGCTGTGCTGTTATAAACAAGGCTGCCATGAGTCAGAACTGACTCAAAACAACTCAAGGCAACAAGAACAGGACCATATTCAGCAATTAAATCAAAACACATGAGGAGGAAATTAGACCCTTCACAATCAAACATCTTCTATTTTTGGTTCTGTTTACTTTTGGTTGGTTTTTTAGGGGATAGTTGGGGGTTTTTTGCTAACATGTATTATGTCTTTTGGCTGAAAGGTTCATTTACCTTAATTTCCACTTTTTAAAAAAAGTCAACTTCTTTCTAATGCTATATTTCAAAATTGTATGAGAGATTTCCAAATAGTTGTTAAAAAATCAGTTTCCACATAGTAAGACTTGACTTAATGTTTCTTAGAAGTATCTTAGAAAATCTGTAATTTTTCTACTCTGATCACATGATGCCAACTTGCATCAAATTTTATCCAAGTAATGATGTTGAGCAATAAACATTAATTACCAGGGCTGACTTTAGATACATTGTCTCTAAAAGTTTTACACTTGGGACAAATAGAAAGGAAATAAATTATCAAAAATACTACCTTGGAATCCCTTTTCTTGTGTTCCTCTTTTGAGGCTCTCTCTTTCTTATGTATGCTACTGTGGTGCCTCTCTTCATCAAAATGCACACCTTCTTTATGGTGTTTCTCTTTATGTCTCTCTTCCCCTTCCTTCTCAGTGAAAAAAATACTTTTTTCTTTACGGATTTTTTCTCTTTTTTCCCTCATGCTTTTTTCTCGGTGCTTCTTCTCTCGGTCTTGTTCTTTCGGTCTCCTGTGTCGTCTTTCACTTTCTTCATTATAAAGCCAATATTTAAGAGGATTTTCTTTACTGTCACCATACTGTAGCTGTAAAACAGTACATGTTACAAATGCATGAGTACAGAAAGCATGAGCATTTCATTGACGTATGCTATGAATAATAAAAGAACAAAGTCAGAGAACTACCATTGTCCCTTCAGTACTATATACTATTGCCAGTTCCTTTTTAAAAACTTACAGTCCTAAAAGAAAAGGAAAAAAGCAATTTAGAGTAGTCCTTTAATGTTAGATGCTGCTCACTACCCAACAACTACAACAAAGAGACAGTGAAGCCCAAACAGCCACTCTCTAATATGGAAAACAGGGTCCAAAGGCCTTTCCAGGACACATAAGTCCTTCATAGTCAAAGCTCAAATACTCAAACCCTCAACTTTCTTACCCTTCCCAAGTCCTACATGGCCTAATCTCCACTGACACCAAAATCCTTTTGTAATATTTGACACATTCTCTAGGAAGGCATTGTCTTCTGCAAATAACTATTACACTATATGGTTAACTTTCTGATAGTAATGTGTCTCCTTATACTTTCTTTAGTTCATAAATCCATTTTCTACCCCTAGACTGAGATTCTTAAAGATGGGACTCATCTTTTCATCAATTCTATATACACAAAAATTAGTGAAGCTCATTACATAATTGCTGACATTCTCTATAAAGAACTATGCTGCTAATTTATGTCAAAACATTCTCTATAAAGAACTATGCTGTTAAATGCCACTGAGGCAATGCCAACTCAGAACAACCCTCCATCAGGTTTTTGAGGCTACAGATCACTGTGGGAAGAGACTGCCCACCTTTCTCCCTCAGAGTGGCTGTAGGATGTAAATCACCAACCTCTTGGTGTGTGGTCCTACATGTTACACACCCACAGAGTTAATTTATATAGGGTAAGATGCAGATCTATTATTCAAAGGTTGCTATAGATTGTACTCAACTCCATGGCACCTTCCAACAACAACGTACTTTGAGCTGGTCACGAGTCAGAACCAACTCATATCTGATTCTCCAGCAAGTCTGCAGAGTCTCTAAGTCACACAGGAGAAAAAGTGCCCAAGTTCCTCCACTGGAGGAGCTAGGAGATTTGAACTTCTCACTTTGGGGTTTGCAGCACAACTCCTTAAATGCTAAACAACCAGAGCTCCATTAGTTGATACTGTTGTTGTTATTGTGTGTCCCGCTGAGTCAGAACTGACCCATAGCTGACTCTCTGGTAAATTTTCAAAGACAATTAATCGCATGGGAGGAGACTGCCCATCTTTCTCCCACAGCTGATGGACTCAAACCATATGTCTTTGGGATTGCAGTGCAGCTTCTTACCTCTAGGTCACCATACCACTCTAAAATTAAAATTATTTTGCTGAAGGAAAAAAGCCACCTAGTTATTGAGTGGGGAAAGTTCTGTCAGCAGCTCTAACAGGGTCTCCCATACTTCCTACTCTAGGAATTTATGAGGTCATCATATGATAACTCTCCTTTTAATTAAGATCATTTTAGTGGAGTTCTGCTATTTGCAACAAACTGAGACAGAAAATTAAATCTGTTAAGTTCTTTGTAGACTATTTAAGGTCATAGGGTTATTTAAGAGTGTCAGAATTTCAGCTGAATCCACCACTCTGAGGCAAACGTTTCAGCTTGTGATGAATGAATGCAGTTTTCTAGGTGAAAGTGGCATGGGGCAACCAGCAGTATTTTACCTGTTGGTGTTGCTTGGTTATTTTAGCTGGGACCAAGCGAGGAGAAAATTCTATTTTCCAGAGAATCTAAAGTCATACTTGAGGTTTGTGATCTTAACAAACTCAGAAAACCGTGTTGGATTCATAATATTCTCCTTATTTGACAATCAGGGAAAGACTGGACAGCAAGTACAGCTGGGCAGAGCTGGTAGTGATACTCCCTGTATTCTAACCAACAACAAGGGGGTAGGGAGATGAGGGGGATGCACATGTATGTGTGTCTTTGATCTCTAACTCTCATTTGGTAAAAAAAAAAAAATTCTCCTTATTTCTTTCCTTCTCTGAATTTTCCCTCTCCATTTCAAGTTATACTTAAAGATGGGATCAGACCTAAGAAAATAAATGTGTATAATAGGTTATTGATATTTCCCATGTTTGGCTCAGTCTCAGTTTGAGCACATAATCACCTGTGTCACAACAAACCATAAAAACTAGCATGCTACAAACGAAACCTACTGTTTTCCTCATTAAACAAGGGTCTGCTCTGCGCATATCAAACCAGTGCTCATTTAATTTCAGTATTCTAATAACTTTCTTTTATAGCTCCTTTCTCATTTTTTAGTTTTCTGCTATTTTATTCCTTTCACTTGTGTTCACCATCTTACCACTTTGCCTGAAAATCACTGTAATTGGATGCTAAATAGTTCCCTTTCCTCAACTCTTACCCAAATCCAATCTACCCTATACATTCTCCAGAATCATCTTCCGAAAGAAAAATACTCTATCTCCCTAACTAAACCAGACAGTAAAGTAAGAGCACCACCTCTTATCATTCACCTAAGTCAATTCCATGGATATTAAATATTCAAGCATTAAACAAGGGAACTCTGGCGGCCTAGAGCTAAGAATCTGTGCTGTAATCCCAAAGGCATGAGGTTTGAATCCACCAGCAGCTCCATGGAAAAATGATAGGCAATCTCCTCCCATGTGACTTACTGCCTCTGAAAATTTGCTAGAGGATCAGCGATGGGTCAATTCTGACTAAATAGCACAAATAAAACAACAACACACACTAAACAAAAATAAGAAAGATCTAAAACAAAAATTTAGAATGGGAAATCTCTTACTGTGTGCCTCTGAGACCCTGCTGGAGGGTCAGCCATGGATTGGTTCTGACTCAATAGCACACAACAACAACAAACATGACATCCACTACAGAAAAATAAATAGACTTACTGACTTAACTATTTCAGAATTTTAAACTTACAAAGAACCTTCATGTAAAATCAAACAAACAGAAAGTGACTGGCATTAAGTTAATCTTTAAAGTATTCTTACAAATCAATAGGTCACTCTATTACAAAAGCAAGCAAGTATTTAAATATAGTGACTAACAAAAGGACAGCAATTTCCCTTTTGAGAAAATGAATAGAGATTCATTTTTCTGAATCAAGTGAGCAAAAATTAAAACTAAGGATACTATTCAGCTACTTCTTAATACATATGTTATTACACTGATCATGTAAATATTAAGATTTTAATGTAATGAATTTATGCAACTTCGTTAACTAACTCCTAGAAATTAGGTATAAATACAAAATATAAAATAAATGCAAAAAAGTTTTCCACATGAATACCTTTATGCTAAAAAATTTTAGACACAATCCAAATGTCCAACAGTGGCTGCCTTATTAAGAAAAGTATGATCAGGGTGGGGAGAAAAGTGCAACAATGAATGAATGGAATTCCAAAATCTTTGTAGATGTTCATAGAAATTAATAATAATTTAAAAAATTTAAAAAAAAGAAAAGTATGACCCAACTACATATTTGAATATGATTGGGGCACTGTAGGTCTATTGTTTATAATGTCTTTCCTCAACACCAACAAGAAGAGGAAGCAGCACATATCCTTCAGGGCCAGAGATTCCTGAGCAAGCCAGAGTTTAACATGAGGCACAGCACAGCTGGGACTGCTGCTCTATGAAGGCAGGGCCAAAGCCTTCACCCAAGCCAGCTAGCTAGAGGACCAAGGGAAGACATTGTAACTGGCAAGACTAAAGGCACTTTGTGACACTGACCTAATCATAATGTGAAAAGTCAAAGGACTTGCAACCATGCCTGAGAAACTGTCTGGACTGAGGAACTTTATCCAGCTGCCAACCTGAATAGTAGGTAGCCTTTTAACTTCTCTAACAAACCCCATAACCATGCTTATGGTTCTGTGTAGTCTGCATAGCTAATGCAAGGATTTCAAACCCTGCAGGGCAATAGGATTGGTATTAGAATTAGCAGAAATAGGCATGTGAGAGTGGGAGACATGTCTGCCTTCATGGGACTGGTTTTGTGATGTGGATGTTGCTGATCGGGGCTGTCTCAACAACATCCACACTCTTTTTTTATGACCATACAATACAGCCATTAAAATTATATTGGAGAAGATTCGGATCTCATGAATTCTCCCACCTTTCCCCTTCCTATGAGCAGCCTTGGGTGACCTCCCAAAATGGTTCACTACTCACTTGAACCAGAAAATCCTCTAAAATCATTCACATAAAGAGGCTCTAAGAGAGATGCAAATCAAAACAACTATGAGATATCATCTCACCCCAGTCAAAATAGCAAAATTTAACAGAACAGCAAGCAACAAATGCTGGCGAGGTTGTGGAGAAACTGGAACCCTGATTCACTGTTGGTGGGAGTGTAAAATGGTGCAACCCCTGTGGAAAGCAGTATGGCGCTTTCTCAAAAAGTTGCAAATAGAGATACCATTTGACCCAGCAATTCCACTACTGGGAATATACCCTGAAGAGACCATAGCTGACATCCAAGCAGATATATGCACACCCATGTTTATTGCAGCTTTGTTCACAATAGCAAGGAGTTGGAAACAACCTAAGTGCCCATCAACAAACGAATGGCTAGAGAAGCTGTGGTATATTCGCACAATGGAATACTATGCTGCATTAAAAAATAAGGAACTCATGCAATATTATTCAAAATGGTTGACTCTGGAGAACATTATGCTGAGTGAAATATCCCAGTCACAAAAGGACAAATATTACATGATACCACTGTTGTAGAATGGGACTGTCCTTGGGGTTGGGGAGAGACTGAGTAAGATGGGTTCAATAATGTATACTGCACTGAAACAGAGGAGGGAGAAAACTGTTTAAAAGAGATATATGACTAGGTACTTCTGTCATCACAGGAGTCTAGAGCGAGGGCTACATGGTGGAGGGGACCTGGGCGAGGGTTTGTAAAACAATGAAAGAATCCTTTCTTTTACTTTTCCATAATTTTTGACTCATGTACTTATAACTTGTTAGTTAAATTTGTGTCTTCTAGGTTGCAA